GGCACTTCCTCCAGTTCCATGACTTCAAAGCCAGCCGCACACATCAAGGCCACGGAGTGGAGGTGCAAAGGGACCTGGGGGGGGCGGGGAGCGAGGGCTGCAGAAACTTACACCAAGCGCCCAACGCCCAGCGCTATTCACCTCGCAAACAGGGCCTGTTCCAAAAAATTCCTGCTAGAGTCCTTTCTGGGCTCAGCCACCACGAAAGGAAATATCGTGGCCCCCCCATACCTGAAACATCCCAAGGGAAACCCCAACGCCTCACTCCACCTCCCAGGCTGGGCTCCACCTAGGCCCAGGCAATCCACCAGCCTGTGGGGCGCCTGAGCCTGGACACAACCAGCCAGGATGGGCCGCGTGCAGGGCCTCGTCTTCACAGCCGGGGGGTGGGGGGGGGGAAATGTCGGGGGACCCGGGGGACACCCCAGTGCCGAGCGGTCCGAGTTATGTGGGTTCTGGGGGACTCAGGGCTCTGTTCTTACTTCTACGTTGAAATGTATTTGACCTTAACTCCCACGCCACTCAATCTCAGTCAGAGTCCCTGCTCCCTCACCCAGGAGGCCCCTCGTCCCCTGCGGTCTGCTGGTGCCCCCTCCCCGCCAGCCCAGCCCAGCCGCACTCTGCCACCCTCCTCAGCACATTTTTCTTCCCGTCACTATGCCAACCTGGCAACTTGGTTACTCATTTGTGTCCAGGTTTACTGCCCACCGCCCCCTCGGACATGAGCCCACGAGGCCCTGTCCGCCTCAGTCATAGCCCCGAGGTCCGGTCCCCGCCCGGCAGGCAGCTCAGTGCCCTCTGGCCCGTCCTCACAGGTGCCACCACCTCGTGCTCCTGCCTGTGGCAGGGCCAGCCTGAAGCTGACCCCGGGGAAGACGGAGACTAAGGCGGAGGCCACGCAGGCACGGACCTGGCCCTGAGGACCTGTGCCCGCTGGGCCCAGGGAGGCACCCAGGCCTGGCTTCTCTCCTGGGCGCCACGTCTCCCTGTTTCGGGTTCCTGGCCTCTCAGACACCGCAGCCGGGCCTTGCCATGCAGGACCATGTGGCCACTGTACGGGCAGGTGAGGTGGGCTCTCTCAACCGCCATCTACAGGTAGGCAGACTGAGTCCCAACCAAGTCAGGCTCCAGGCACAGGTCCCCCAGGGAGTGGCTATGGGAAGCCAAGTCCTGTGCAATTAGCCCTTCCCAGCTGCCCGTCGACATCATGGCAGCACTGGCCTGCGATGCCCTGGCAATGACCAAGCCCAGGTCCAGCGGTGCCAGCCGTGGTCCCGGCATGTCCTCCACGCGCTGTCCCCCTCCTACTGTCTGAACCAGCCGTGGTCCCGGCATGTCCTCCACGCGCTGTCCCCCTCCTACTGTCTGC